AAAGGCATGACTGCTTAATTTTGGTGTGTATTTGTATACTTTTACCATCTAATCAATCTCAGCATGCTTTAATTTGGTGTCGCTAGACGTTTGCATCACTAAGGTTAAATTAGCCCATGTCTTTCTTTGGCCTACGCTCTGGAAGTGATCTGTTAAATCTAATAAACTTTAATTACTAACTAACTAAAACTGAAACTAAACTATATAAAAACGAAATAGAAATGTGTTCACAAAATAAAAACTAAACTAGCCTAAAACTAACAAAATTATTATTGAAACTAATAAAAACAAAACTATATTTTATTGCAAATTTGAAAACGATATTAAAATAGAACAAATTACGAAATAGAAATGTGTTCACAAAATAAAAACTAAACTAGCCTAAAACTAACAAAATTATTATTGAAACTAATAAAAACAAAACTATATTTTATTGCAAATTTGAAAACGATATTAAAATAAAACAAATTTAAAAATGCAAAACTATAATAACCTTGATCTCTACATAAACATACATTTGCATAGATGGGTGAACACAATCACCTGATTTTGTAAATGTGACAATTTTTTCTTTAAGCAACAAACTTGCACTTGTCTAAAATTTTAAATGCTTAATTTAAAAGAAAAAGTTTAATGAATAAAAAAACATATATAAGAGAGTATTGTTCAATTTAGTGTTATACATATGTTACCATATTCATGTTTTGTTCTAAAGTCAATCTCAAGTTTACTGGGTTTTACACGATTCTTTTTTTCTTTTGAGTGGGTTTAAGGAGTGTACTCAAAAACATTTTCACATGTGTCCTCCAAAATGACCCACAACCTAATCAGTTTATATGTAAAGCAAGGTTATTATAGTTTAGCATTTTTTTTAATTTGTTTTATTTTAATATTGTTTTCAAATTTGCAATAAAATTTAGTTTCGTTTTAGTTTCATTTTTTAAAATGTATATAGCATTATAAATAATATTTTCAAACATTAATTAAAAGTATTACACAATTATTGCCATTGTTTGGGAAGGAAAAATATAGGTGGGTTCTTTTTAAATGTGGTGCGGGTGTGTTGAAAATAAATGGATATAAATGTAAGACGAGATATTTATTGGTTAAAACTAGTGCTGGGCAACGATTACAATTTTTAATCGCGATTAATCGCATGATTTTCTGCGATTAATCGCATTGTTATGCACAACATTCAATAATGAATTCAAAAGTAGTGTATTGTGCAGTTTTTCATTTAAAACGTACTGCTATATGAACAAAAGTGCAATAACATTTGGTTTGCAAACACTTTAAACAAATAAGGTGCTTTTTTACAGCAGTATTCCTTTTACATAGCAGTTAAAATATTTCTTGTAAATCTCAACTTATAACATTAATGTAATCAAATTAAATATAAAGGGTGTACCCACACTAGGGGCAATCTTAACTGTGCCCGAGCGCGTTTGATCCCCAAAGCCCAGTTCGTTTGACTAGTGCGATCGCTCCGTGCCGCGGTTCCTTTAGCTGTACCTGGCTCGGTTGGAAGATGTGGGCCAGAGCGAGGTTCAGTTGGTGGGTATGTAGTGTCGGAGCGCTGAACTTCTGATAAGTGCAGCATGAATGCGTGAACATTTCTGAGCGGCAAAAGTGATAGATCAGTAAAGGAATATATTGTGAGAGAGCAGTGTGTTACCGCGTCCCAAACGACTCAAAATAATAAACCACAAAGTTAACAAAACGATGCACTCCACTGTGCTGAGCGAGAGTGCTTCTCTGCTGTCTTCACGCGCTATTGGAAACGTCCTATTTCCCACTTATGAAGAAGTCATGAGTGCTGCTGCAGTCTTAGGCCCACCCCAAATGCTCTCATTGGTTGAGACGCGTGATGACACCCATCCCAAGCCAGTACTGATGAACATCCCACCCCTCCTGTGACCCATGGTTTGTCTGTATATGTATTCAGAGCCAGTGAGCAACGGACTTTCATAATTAAAAAAAAATGTTAATGCACAATAAAATAATTGTCGGGGTTAATCAAATAATGCGTTAACGCGATAATAACGCGTTAACTTGCCTAGCCCTAGTTAAAACACATGATCACACAAAATATATTTCATATGAATGAGACTTACTAGTTTTATTTGTAAAAGTTACTTAACACGGCGCGACAGCTTTCCAATATTCGCACTACTGACGTCTGTACTTCCAGGTCAGAGAGCAGCTGTCCATCAAAAATCTCACTAGCCAATCAGAGTAGACCGCTGTTAAGCCCGCCCTCACGAGAGGTTTGTGCCAAAACAGTGAACGAAAATTTGCGAAGCGTAAGCGAAATCTGTGGCAACGGATTCAAAATCCACGATTCGTGAAAACAAATCTTTGAAAATTGTTAACAAAGAATTAAGTATATTTGAAGAGCATGTTACATTTTTGCGACTGAGTTCTTTTTTTCATTTTCATAGCATTTTTCTTCTTTCGTAATGGCATATTTTTGATCGTTTCTGGAAAAGTTACGTTCAGTTTTATAAAGTTTAGGGGTGACCCCAAATAGTCGAAGATTCGATGCTTTGATAGGAGGAACCTGATTCGACTACCAATCTCACAGTCGAATATTCGCTGAGGTGTTATGATCATGCTATTTTGGCTATAAAGGGGTGCTCAAATGTCTGATTTCACATAGAACTACCGGTTTTCTCCCAATAAGTTAATATACAGCCTATTAAGATAATGCTTTAAATAAAAATCTGAAAAGAAAGAAGCTTTAAATAACTTTTAAATAACTTTCAATAATTTTAACGTGCATGAATAAATCCAACCACCCCTATAGATTTAAGTTAAGTTTCTCTTTCCATAATCCATGACCGACAGAGGAGCATCTTGGCGGTGGGGATTTAAAACTTTAACAAGACTCAAACTGACACAGGCAGAGTGAAAGACTGGATTTTTTTCTATCAGGTAGGGTACAAAGCAGGACAAACAACAATGAATAATAATGACTATGACTGGAACTGTCATATACATAACATTATAATGAGAACACTATACTGTGAATTTTTAGAGTTTAGTTGCCGTGTTTTTGCACGATGTTGCGTGAAGAATGCGTCCACAAAAGGAGTTCATTCAGAGCCGCGCAGTTCTTATGTATTCGAGGCATTTTGTGCAGATAGCCTATAAGTTGTAATATTAGCGTTATGTTGTATAAATAACGAATCGTATTCTATATGAGATAAATTAGTCAAATCCCATTGATTAAACACCTGCTATGCTTCATTACGTATATACTGACGTATATAACATCAGTAATTATGACTGTTGACCCTTGGTAATGTATTTTGCCCCACCCCCAAACATATGATTCGACTATCAGTCGAATATCGGCAAGATTCGAAAATTCCGATTCAACTATGAAAATCCTTAGTCGGGGACACCCCTAATAAAGTTACGTTCATTTTTATTGACACAAATGTAATTCCATAATATTGCATCTAAAAATCACTTTTCATGATTGTAGTGTAGACATTTTAGCCGGTTGAAATGGGAGCGGTCTAGTTTTGTCATATTGCCTCTCTGCACTCTCTTCCAGTATATAACGGGTATAACTGAAAATTGTTTCACAGCAATTGGTTCCATTCCATTCAGGGCAACAGATGAAAAAGTTTGCAACTGTGTAACACTATGAGAATCAAGGCACAAGTGCATAAATATTAATTGGGTCACAGAATCATTGCTTGGTAACCTTCCAGGAGTGTCCAGTCAAGTACCTTAATTAATATTCATGAGCCAAGCTTTCACCCATAGTCACATTTGTCAATTTGCCAGCTAATTAACACACACCTTAACAGCCTTCCTATTAGCCAAGGATAACTGTCAAGATAAATAAAGATATTGAATTTGAAAAAGGTTTATCAGCTAAGGTGTTTAATTTCCTTTGTCGTGCATCAGTACATTTTGTGTTTCTGAATTCTGTAGTGATTCTTAATTGAATGTTTCCATGCCTGTTCGTACATATACAAGTGAAATAAAATGTATTTGTATTGAACTTTTCACATTACACATTGTTTCAAAGCAGCTTTACAGAAAATCATAATGTTAATGTCTATAATATCTTAATATCTCTATGCCTTATAGCCGCATTTAGCAGATTAGAGCTGGTTGATAATATAGTTTACATTTTGCAATAATACAAACAATCAAGCAGTTGAAATTTGTATTATACTTATATATCCAACTGCGCGATAACATTATTTTACATTTTGCAACAAAAAAATTGGCAGTTGATATTTGCTACATATCACTTTACGTGAGTATACTGTGTGTATGCAGACAAAGTTGGATATAATATATATCCAGCTTTATGTATAGAATTGTGCGATAATACAGCTTACATTTTGCATCGATATAAACAATCACACAGCTGAGATTTGCTATATATTATATATTGCCTTATGTGAGTGTATTGCATGTGTGCAGGTAAAGTACAATGTACTATTTAATGTACAACTTTTAATATATTGGTTGTGAAAATATAAATTAAATTTTTTGACCATATAATGACATCCAAAAGTCTGAAAATGTATCTGTTTTGCATTTTTCTTATTTAATATTTAATATCATTGTAAATTATATTATCATTACAACTTTTAGCAAAAAGATTTGAACCAAAATTTTCAAAATGTCTCAGATATTTGTACCCACTGAATATTGTATTATGATATAAGCTGTACCTTTGCTTCGTACCCATTCACCACCTCCGTTTTCTCACTACGCCAGCCAAGAATGCCCGTTTTATTCCTGCAGAGACATTCAGGCATGTTACCAGGTTGCCAACGTGCCATGCAGACAGAGGTGAGTCCAATATCACACATTTTATGATGAAGCTTAGTCCAAAAGTGCTGGCTCACACTCTTGGCTTAACAGAAAAGCCACAGTAAAGGGTTACGATGCCCTTGCTTTTGAACATTTTAATTGCCAACAATGACTTGGCAATTGTTATTAAGTGCTCACCTCTCAAAGGAGATGTTCCTTGTGTCTAGCTGTGTGGCCACCACCGGAGTGGATAGACGGGCCGCCACCTGTTCGTCGCTGGGTTGCAGCGCCCCCAGAAGGCTCAAAGCAGTTGTGCACGGCCTGGTGGAGGGTGAGGCGGGAGAGGAAGAGAGGCACGGCAGCGTCTCACAAAACACCAGCTGTCTGTCATGATCCACTTCCATTACCATAGCGCTGGATTCTGAATGACAGGTGGAGAGTGAGAGAGACTGAACGGATGGAAGCCAATTAGAGACTGGCGAAGTGAGACTGATGTTGTTTCCATGCCAGTGATGGCTTGTTTGAAAGAACACTGAGCGAGAAGTGGCATCGAGAACAAAAGCGGAGATCAAACCCAAATCTGATTTAAAAGTAACAGGTGGAGAAAAATAAAGGTCGTTCAGTGCAGGAAAATAGCCATCGCACATACCTTGACCCCTGAATATGAAGCTGCGATTGCCTCTTTGCCAGGTCATTTGCTCAAATCCCATGAGCGTCGTGTCCACCCGCAAACACTGACCGCTCTTCCATACCCGATATGTGTCACTCGGACAGATACGAGACACGAGAGGAACTGGAAATAGAGGGAGAGTTCAACAATAGCAGGACATGAGGATGTGGAAAGAGGAAGTCACTGTCCAAACATGCCATTTACACTTTGTTACGGCACATATGACCTACCCCAACTCGTAAACTCCCATTTCATCTCCACGTAAAAGTCCTGCACCTGAAAGGCAAGAGGGGAAGAGAAGGTTAGAGTGAATGTGAGCATACAGTGGGAGGGCAAAAGCAAGAGACGGATCGCTCTGCAGGGAAAGACATGAATAATAAAACTCCTAGAGAGATGAGGAGTGGGGAGAACCAGAGAGCTTGCACATCCATCATAAACAAAAGGAAAAGAGCTACGGGGCGCCCAGGGTTTAAGAAAACTGGTAAGGAAAGGGAAAATAGAGGTCTTATAAACAAACAATGATGTAGACCCAGAGGTTTCCCGTAAACCTGTTTGTTTGTGTATCTGTATGCATGAATCTACTGGAATGAAGGGCTCAGGTGTGCGGTCAGCAGGTGGTTGTTAAGCTGGTGGCTTGTTGTTTTGTCATTAACAGGTTCAGGGTTTATTAAGGCACATCTGGGGCTGACCTGTCGGAGTCTCTCTAGCAGGTGCGGGATCCCCGCCAGTCTCTTAGTGTTGCGCTGGTAGTCACGGTAACGCAGCACCAACCGCACCATCTCTGGGTTACGTGTGCTGATGGCCTCCTGCAACACTGAGACAGAAGGTAAAGTAGTGTTACCAAAGTTAGGAGATGTGTCATATATATTTACATTTAGAATAGCTTTGTTGTCATCTAATGCTCACTTAAAGATCATCTTTAAAAATACTAATAAATGAATAAATTAAATAAACATCCATTTGTCATACAGTGCACTATAATGTTGGGATGCCGAAATTTACCTGTACACTGTAACTAAGTTGTAAATAAAAAAGATAATTGGAGAATGTTTTACAAGAAAATACTATTTCTGCATTTTATTTCACATTTAATCTATATGTTACTCGTTTGGGAAATTTACTAGCAATTTCTGAGTGAAAATTGTTTCTACACCAATTTTTTTTTCTCAGTGTAGCAAAATGGCCGATTTTAGTTTTTGGAATTTTATTTTGAATTTATTTAGACAAAAGAACTGTTTATGTTAACATATTTTAAAATGTAATTTATTTCTGTGATGGCAAAGCTGAATTTTCAGCAGTTATTACTCCAGTCTTCAGTGTCACATGATCCTTCAGAAATCATTCTAATATGCTGATTTGCTGCTCAAGAAACATTTCTTATTATTTGTATTATTAATAAGAATTATTATTCTTCTTATTATCAATATTCAAAGGACTTGTGTTGCTAAATGTTTTTGTAGAAACTGTGAAACATTTCTTTAGGATTCTTGGTAACATTTAAATGTCCTCATTGTCACTTTTGATCAATTTAATGCACTTTGCATAAAGAAAAAATTGTACTGACCCCAATCTTTGGAACGGTAGTGTAAATAATGACCAGCTTATCATATTGGGCAGAATTACTGCATCCCCTCTCAAAATGCAAAGGCTTTTTCGCTGTATTACCTGTCCAGCCATTTCTGTTTTCTTTGCTGACATCGGCTCCATGCTGGACTAGCAGATGGGCGCACTCGAAATGGCCTAGTGTGACGGCCAGGTGCAAAGGAGTCCGACCCCGTGGGTCCAACACTTCTAAATCAACCTTTAAGACAGAGAGAGATTTGTTTTATTGACCACTTCATGTAGTAAAATATTTCACAAACACAATTCTCTGTTTCTGCCCTTAAACAGAGATATGTCAGAGCTGTGGCCTAGTAGTTGACGCATGTTCTCCAGAGATGGCAAACTTTTGTGGTCAAATGCAGGTTTGAAAAACACCTGAATTGTGTCCCATTACATTCCCCCTTTATAAGTTCAAACTATTTCTTTCTACCATTCTGTTAATCAGTGTTTAGAGGTTTAAACATCACTGTGCCTCATCAAAGTTGTAATTTCAGTAGTGCTGGATGCTGGATTCCCAGAAAATAGTGTCTTTCTCAGCTCAATTTAGTTTAATGTTGATTCAATTTAGTTCAATAACAGTGTGAATGTTCATTAGCAAATTCAGCTCTAAGATAATAGTGCATAATTCAGCTAAAGTCAGTTCAGTGTTGATTCAGTTAATTTCAACAATAGTGCACTGTTCATCAGATTATGAAAATAGTTTAATTCCGCTATAAGCAGCTCTACAGAAGGCAATAGCATTGTTATTCAGCTCAAGTCAGTGTTGATTCAATTCAGTTTAACAGTTCATCAATTATGAAACAAATGACTAGTAAGCTATTCCAAAAAACTGGAAAGGGAAAGACATGCAGATAAGATAAAAAATAAGGTTTTTAAAGGATATTTCAACAAAGGAAAATGACAATTGTGTCATTATTTTCTCACCTTCTTATTGTTCTAAACCTGTATGACTTTCATATTTTTAACATAAAATAATATATTTAGAAGACTATATATATATGCGTCTTTGTCTACACTGTTAAATTCAATTGGATCGAATTCTGTTTTGAACCCCATTTGCTTTCAAAATATCCTAGTTTGTGTTCCACTGAAAAAAGAAAGTCATGAAGATTTTGAAGAAACATGAAAGTGATGACAATTTAAAAATATGAAAATGTATTTATGATAATATTGCAGTATATGAGAATCTTGAGAAAGCCTTCAGAAAGAAGGAAAGAACAAGCATCATTCTGGCTACCTGCTATGCGGAAAGAATCAATGGCAAAAGGAAGAGAAGGCAGAAGTGAAAGAGTGTGACAGAAAAGAAAAGTGACAGGCGATAATTAAGGCACCACACCCGAACATGACACAGAGCGCGCTCACATGACACCTGACAGCCACAGTGAGAAATACTTCCACACTCAAACTGAGATCTGCGCTAAACACACTGCGATTCCACACTTGTGAAAACCAGTGCCGTGCCATACTGTTCCTCCAGCTTCTTATCCGAGTGATCTCTCTCAGTCTCTCGGCCCCTTTCGAGCCTGTCAACTATGTCACTGACAGTCTTGAGAGTTTCAAAAGAGTTTATGATTCTCCTTATGGGAGGATCATTTATAATAAGATCATCGCTCACTGTCATCCGAACGCAAACACAATCATCCCGTTCACCTCCACGCGCCACCACACATTTCAGTAAATATGCTTATGTTTATAGATGCAGGATGACCCATTAATCATTATTTGATGAGTTGGCTGGCTATGGTCATGTTGGCCATATTTATAAGCATAGCCTCCGAAAGCAAGGTCATGACAGATAGTGCATGTCTGTTGAATCGTGTATGTGGAGCAGAAATGAGAGTCAGGACAGCTTTATTTAGAGACTTGTATGTGAGCCATGTTTGCTGCTTTTAATGAAGCATTTGGATTGGCTGTGTGGTAATGGAAACATATTATTACCCAAGAGCTTAACTTGTGCTGCGAGAGCTGCTTTGGAGTACTGTACTGTGCTGATTAACTTGGTGCACTTAATTACACTTCACTCAAGGTGCATGTGCGTGTTCTTGTGTTTTCTTTTCCGAGCCAACAGTGCATTATTTATTCATAGTTGATGCTAGTATGGCTACTACAGTTGCTCATGTTTAAACTAATCTACCTAATAGATAACTAATTGTAAGTATTAAACTTCAGCGCGTAGCTCATCTAACTTTTAAAAGTGCTCAGATTTGTAATTTTCCCCTGGTGGGTGATAAAATATTTTAAAATCCTATAAATTTGTATAGAAGGAGAGTCCTGAACCATATCTAGATACTGAAAGAGATTTGAGGGTGGGATCTTTTAACTTGGACTAGTAAGAAAATACCCTAGCAACAGCCAAGCAATAAGCTAAATTCCACCCAGTGTACCATGGCAACCACATGGCAACACTTTGGCATAATTTTACACTCACAATTTCTTCAGAATAGTTAAAGCCGTTATTCATATGTAAATAATTTATACATCACTATTATTTTAATATTATTTATATACTGTAATGCCAAGCCAGCAGAGGGAGCCCTCACCCGAGTACTGACTGTGTTCCACTCCCTCTGCTTCCTCTACACTCATTTCCTGTTTGGTTGCTTTATAGCCAGAGACTGTGCTTATGCTCATTGAGAAGTATTGCCAGTTAACGTGCCTTACCAAGCGGTTTCTCTGTACATTCTGACTGCCTGTTCAGTGTATGATTCTGCCTGTTTACCTACCTAACGATTACCTGGATTATCCCCCTTGCTTAGTTTGCCTGATAGGACGGATGCATGTGTTTGGACCTTTTGCCTGCCTGCTCACTTTACCCTTCTGTCCTCTACACTCATTTCCTGTTTGGTTGCTTTATAGCCAGAGACTGTGCTCATGCTCATTGCGAAGTATTGCCAGTTAACCTGCCTTACCAAGCGTTTTCTCTTTATATTCTGATTGCCTGTTCAGTGTATGATTCTGCCTGTTTACCCACCTAACGATTACCTGGATTATCCCCTTTGCTTAGTTTGCCTGATCAGACGGATGTATGTGTTTGGACCTTTTGCCTGCCTGCTCACTTTAGCCTTCTGGATTGCCCCTGTAAGTGTTGTTAAATTGGACTGTTATTCTGGTTTCGACCCTCTGCCTGCCTTGACGTTCCTGTTTACTGAAATTGTCCTCAATAAACTCCCGCACATGGATTCAGACTCGGCCTCAGTGTCCTCATTAAAGAATACTTCACCGCCAATGAATCCAGCTGAAGTTTCTAACCTGCAAACGGCATTTGCCTACCAAAATGAGATATTAAAGGGCTACCGAGAGCAACTCATAAACCTTCAAGCAGTTAACGAACACCTGACTCATTACATCCAATCGCTCCCCACACCAACGCCGAAAATGGTAAGCTTTGCTCTACCTGATAAGTTTGATGGCACCGCCGAACAGTGTAGAGGCTTTGTTCGCCAAGTAAGGATCTATTTGGATCATCAAGGCGATAAATTTGAGTCTGATGGGAAAAAATGTGCATTTCTGATGACTTTGTTAACGGGCAGAGCGATTGACTGGGCGGCTGCTGTTTGGGACACAGATCCAAGATTCAAAACCTCTGTAGATTATTTTATTCAACAGCTTCGTGAGGTGTTTGAATATCCCGCGGGGGGCAAGAGTATTTCTACTCAGATTTTAAATATCTCCCAAGGTAATCGCACCGCTGCTGAGTATGCGGTGGAATTCAGAACGATCGCCGCTCAAAGTGGATTTAATGACACTTCTCTTAAAGCGATCTTTCAGCAAAGCCTGAACCTCGAACTGCAATCTGAACTTGTTTGTAAAGGAGAGGGTCTATCTTTTTCTGACTTTGTAACGCTAACCATTAAGATTGATAACCTGATGAGACAAGTCCCGAAAAGAAGAAGAGTTAGAGGATTCCATCATGAGCCACTAAGTCCCTCTCAGCTGTTAACTCCAACCGACGGCAACGAACCCGGTACCTCCAGATTATCTGAGGAGGAAAGAACAAGGCGTCGGCAGCTTAATTTATGCTTTTACTGTGGTGAGGCAGGCCACCGCAGCCCTGGATGTCCACACAAGCCCCAAGCAGCTCCGAGGGTGAATATTGAAAATTTTTCATTGTTAAGTAATGAGTCATTCATACTACCCGTCACAATTAAGACTGAAAATGTCTCTCTTGAGTTCACAGCGATGATCGACTCGGGAGCTGCCCTGAACTTAATAAACAAAAGCGTTGTTGACCAGTATAATTTTCCCACTCAACCTTGCACTCCCCCGATCAAGATCAAAGCCATTGACGGCACACTCCTTGGAGAGGGAATTACTCAACAAACAAGAACTCTCTCCCTCCATGTTGGTTTATT